TGAACATGCTGTACATGTGCAGATAAAGAGTGATTGGTTTAATTAGCAGAGCATGAAAAAAGTGTTAGGAGAAGCACAACACATAGTTTACTGTAGCAATAAGTGCTCCTGCCAATCCCCAAGTGCTTTAATTTATTAAAACTGCACACAACACTTAAGCAAATGTTTTTTTTACAGATTAGAATGTTAAATAATAAAATGCATAGAGGATATTACATGGGCGCGCGGAGATACGAAATTTATCTTCGAGTGTTGAAAAGATCTCTCACGAGTGAGTGTGCTCACTCATGAGAGATTTTCAACACGAGAAAAAAAATTTTGTATCTCCAAGTGCCCATGTAATATTCTGTTTATTATATAATTATCCATAAAATCAACTTAACAAGCTTTTTATTATTATAAAAAGTTTCTATTTATAAACTAACTTAAATACACATGGAAACGATATTTTCACCTGTGAAAATAACATGTTATAGGTATATAAGGTATATAGGTATGAAATATAGGTATTTTATGGATAATTATATGATAAAATAAATTACTTTTTATACTGAGATACAAATTCAATACTGGTTTCCAATGTGGCCCACTGTCACTCACACACATTACCACTACATYCAAYATTCTATGCTTACAACTCACATGTTGGTATTTATGGACGGAGGAAAACCAGAAAATAGCCATCATAATATTTTTGAAATACAAAGTAAGCATACATGCTTTGTGTGACTCATAAAGCACAAAACCCCAACCAACCAGGGCTTTTGTACTAGTGCTTTACACTAACACTAGTCCACATAATTCTCATTTATAATGTACATACATTATCATTAATTAGTATTACAATAATCATGTCTAAATAAATGGTATTTTATTTGTAGATAATGAAGAAGAGGAAGCAGTCAGTATTTGGATAAAGAAACAGAATGACTCTACGGTTTGTTATATTTATGAGGTTAAAGGATAAAATCAAATTCCATTGATGTATCAGTATTACCCACCTATATAATTAAGATGCTAAATTCTTGTCTGAAAAGGCTTAATAGGCCAAACAAATTTTACTACATACTAGYGGTTTGGATACACTCTGTGCACTTGTTATTTTGTACAACCCATATTTTTATCTTGATATTTTGTTCTGAAAGATATACATGTAAAATCAAAGCAGCTGGTAAAATTCAAAATCCTAATTAATCAGAAATATACCTTACAAAGTCTGATAAATAAAGTTAACTGAGTTGGAATATAATAACCATTAACTCCTAATTAAGGAGGATTTTTGTAAAATGGAGAGAGTGTTAGTAAAATGTTTGAGCTGTTTTGAGCTGCTATTTAGTTGATAGATGGTTTTTTACTGACTTACAGACTGTTGACCAAAGGAAGTTAGGAAAAGCAGAAGCAAAACTAAAAGCAAAACAAGAGAAAAGAGAAGAAAAAGAGGAGAAAAAACCTAATGTCATGTAAGTCGTTTTTATGACAAATGAAATCAATGGGGCGTGCATTAGCTAATGTAGCCTCTGTAATCCCCACTTCAAGTTGCAAAAAAAAACCAGAGGGCCGCTACACACAGGCTATGCACAATAATATATACATCAGGTACTACTACCCCTACCAGAATACTATGTGCGTAGTAAGTACAATAATTTTCTTACTCACTGTGGTGCAGGATGGAAAGAGGGATATTTGAATAAGATGAAAGGGGAAATCTTCTTTTATTCAATTCTTTATAGCCACAGGGAGACCAAATAAAAGTAATGAATACTTACATATTAGCAAAAAAGAATCAAGGTTTTCCTTGTTAGAACTTTGATGGCATCAGCTTTCCCTTTAGCCATTTTATTATAATATTGGCATTTCATTTATAATTGTATAAGCTATTTATTTATCCCATAAAGGTAACTGTCCAATTATTATCTTAATAATACACTCAACAAAATTACTTGATTCTGATTGAACAAGAGGAGTACATTTAAATCTCAAATTTTGTTGAGTGTATTATAAACAAAAAATCGCACAATCGTCTTGTACGATTCGAAATTTATAGATACTTGTGGTGTTTTGAAAGTTCTTAACTTGGATTATAAATACCTATAAATATTAATGTAATATAAATAACAGTACTATTATCTATAAAATCGTACAAGAAGATCATGTGATTCCCAATACTAATTTTGACATTTCTGGAAAATTAAAGTCAGAATGGTTTCGAAAGAATAAACCGGCTTTTAGCTATAAAAATGGATTAATAGATTGAAAATTTTCTCTGACTGTCAAATCAGACTCAGGCTACAGCCTTGTACAATTTTGACAGTCCTCAGAATTTTCCTCATYCACTTTTTTCTTAATTGGACAGCATAGAGACCTAGCTATTGCATATATAATAATTATAAAGAAATGTCACATTATTTTAGTGGAAGCTTCTAAATAAACAGTCAGGAAAAAAAGGCTTTTCTAGAAGTCTCTTATTGAATGCTTTAAGATAAATAATGACATTTATTTATGATTTTTATTGCACCTCTACACAGTGTTGAACTAGATGGAGCAACAGCTAGTCAGAGTGGGAATAGAAGAGAAGCAAAGATGGAAGCAAGTGGAACAAACAAATCTAGAGATATAAGAATTGAAAACTTTGATCTGGCTTTTGGAGAAAGGTACAAAAAGTAGTCTAACATGGAGGGTATTACAATGAATTTAGTATTTGATCATTATTATTAAGGTGAACATTATTATGATCATTACTACCATCAGCATCATCATCATCATTATCGCCTTCATCATCAATGCCAACATCACCATTAACATCATGCCACCACCATCATCATCATCATCATCATCATCATCATCATCATCATCATAGTGATCATAGACTCACCACAATGAACATCACCTTTATTATCAATATCATCGTCATCATCATCATCACCACTGCTGAGGTCACAATTCCATGATCAGTATCTTTTCTTAACAGTATTTATCTGTCTTTTATTACTTTTAACAATAATTATTTTAATTTTAGATTATTATTAAAAAATGCAAATGTTAGTTTTGCGGCTGGGAGAAGATATGGTTTAATTGGTAGGAATGGAGTTGGCAAGACAACATTTCTCAGGACTTTATCCAGGTAGGTTATCGTACAAAGCACCTATCCTCCTGTATGGTCATGTTACACATTCATTAACCACCTATCCTCCTGTGTGGTCATGTTACATATCATTAAACACCTATCCTCCTGTATGGTCANTGGTCATGTTACATATCATTAAACACCTATCCTCCTGTATGGTCACGTTACACATTCATTAACCACCTATCCTCCTGTATGGTCATGTTACACATNGTTACACATTCATTAACCACCTATCCTCCTGTATGGTCATGTTACACATTCATTAACCACCTATCCTCCTGTATGGTCATGTTTCACATTCATTAACCCCCTTCCTCCTGTATGGTCATGTTACACATTCATTAACCACCTATCCTCCTGTATGGCCATGTTACACATTCATTAACCACCTATCGTCCTGTATGGTCATATAAGACATTCGTTCCCAATTGTGTTATTGCTGCTCTAGTGATATCGTTATTTTAATCCTTGTTTTGTTTTGTTTAATTCTTTGTTATCACCAGGCGTGAGCTGTTTGTCCCATCTCATATTTCAATTCTACATGTTGAACAAGAGGTATATACTTCTTTATACTTGGCATTTGAACTTTTTTAATCGTTTTGTTGCAGAAATATTTCAGAATGATATAACCAAACGTAACGAGATGAATTACAGGCATTTTCTTCTCACCTTGAGAATAAGCAGAATTTTTTGAATCAAATGACTTGTCATCAAATCAAAACAATGATTGTAAATTAACTTAACATTGATAATGGACAATATACTGTCCTGTTCTAGCAGGTGAGCACTAAGTGTCCTTCATTTCCAGAATTCAAAGTGTATTCAGTAGATCACAAATGCTAGTGTGCGAGGCGGAGGGCTGGGTTGCGATGATGACTCATATATAGCCTGTGTTATGTTGTTTGGTGCAGGTTATTGGCGATGAGACCCCAGCACTTGAGAGTGTTCTTGAGTGTGATAAAGGAAGATACGACCTACTGAAGGAAGAAAGAGAGCTAGTTTCACAGGCTGCAAGTGGAAGGTAATCTTCAGGGTCAAGGGTTGGTTATATATCATGCTCTTATCATGTTTTGGCAAAAAGTACTTACCTTGTCTATGCCAGGTGAACAAATGAACTTACAAATCAACTGATTTCAACTAAATAAAAGTTTCTGGATCTGACTGAATATTCCCCGCGCAAGAGCGGATCTAGGGGTGAGGGGTGAATCGGGTGACTAGTCACCTGACCTCCCTTCGGACCTCAAAAGTAATAAGAATAAAGGATAATGTAAGATCTATAAAAGGGAATGCTATGTGATGCCTTACTAGGTAACAGTCACACTCCTTGAAATCGTATAAAATCAAGTTCGAGCCTGACAACAAGTCTGTCCATGTAAAAACAGCCATTACTTTGAATTGTGTTAATTCAATTTGTCATTGATTGCTCTTTTTTACACGTGTTTTTTCCATGCTGTGATAGTCCCGAATGCAAGTCAAATGGAGGTGCTACTGGTCGTTTGTCTCAGGTATAATGTGTATGGTATCATTTTTTGTTTAACTTTGATATGTTTAAAATATTGACTTTCATTGCGATTTTACGGCAACACTCATGTGCGTATTTAGGAGATTATATTCGTGGGCGTTTTGACTGTTTGACCTGTCAGAAGCTATCAACACAGGCCTGAGACTAGTTTGCATTGCAATGTTTTTAAACTTTTTGTCTTCATTTATAACAATATCACTGTCTAGACCGTGCTTCGCCTCTGATTGGCCGATATCGTGTGAGGTAGGACTTTCTACAGGTTATACATAATTTGATCATTTCAAGTTCATTCTACACGACAGATATGGGAATGCTTTTGCTTTTTTTATCGAACGCAGAAATAGATCTTCATTCAAGTTCAGTTTATAAATGCATACTAAATCAATCGTTTATTGAGAATTCGATTTTCGCATGATATAAATTACCAAATTATCAACCGTATAGGCTTCGGCAAATAGCAAGGCCTTGGTCTTGATAATTTACAATGCTCAACCTCACCAAACTATTGTTAATTATCTCACTGTTAAGTTTTATTCATTTTAATGTCAGATATATGTCCGCTTAGAGGAAATAGAAGCTGACAAAGCTCCTGCAAGGTGAGTGGTCTCATTTGATCCTTTTTCCCTCCTCAGCTTTCGTTACTTCTCTTTCTTGATTACATCTTCTTTTATATACAGAAGATACTTTTCATCATTTTATTTCATTATCTTTTTGTTATTATTATTCAGAGCATCTACTATTTTGGCAGGCTTGGGATTTTCTCCACAAATGCAAAGACAGTACACAAAGTAAGAAAGTCCATTACCACTTATTTTTTCATGAAGGAAGTCGGTATGAATGATACCATACTTGGGGAAGATTTCGGAGGGCAGCCAAACACGGTCAATTCATGTATGGTGCAAAGGAATTCGATGTTATGTTAAAAATGTAACAAAAGAAATACGATCTCCTCGAAAAAAGTATTATATTGTAGTTTAGTCTATGCGTGACATATGTGTCCTGGGGTATATACTGTAAAAACGGAGTCAATCTCTTAAGGCATGGGAGATTCAAAGTTGGTAGGTGCTCATGCACAAATATTGGGTCGAGTCACCTTAAATCAATATCGCTTTCGATACTCCCACATCTCTACGTCCGCCATAATATTTTGTTTATTTATTAATAAAAGGTGATGACGACGACGTTATTGAATGAAAATTAGGGTTCACATAATTTATCATTGATCTAATGATGTGATGTTTTATTGAAGGGAATTTTCTGGTGGATGGAGAATGAGAATCGCTTTGGCAAGAGCTCTATTTAGCAAGTGAGTATCACTAGAAGTAAAAATCACCTGGACCTAGTTGTACGAAAGATGGATAATGCTATCCAACGTATAATTCCTTATCCAGTAGATAAGTCGATCCTTAATCATTACAATCTTTTCGCGAAGAGTACCGTATTGCATTATATATCAAATGAATATAGGTAGATTTATGCAGCTACAATAATGCCAATTTAAAACTCCTAGTCACGCAGGTTCTGCCATCGGGTGAATGATGAGACTGGAATTAGGCCATCACTATCAAAAGCAGAACTTTACGGGATCAAGTTATTATTAACATCTGTACATATGAGTAACTAAAACTTCTTGGTCAGAGTTTTCTTTAAGATTCTGGGAAGCACGGGTGGCGTGCGCTGCTAATGCGCCGCCTCTCACCAATGCGGCCCAAGTTCGAGTACTACCGATCTTGATGTCGTATGTGAGTAGAGTTGTTTGTTGGTTCTCTCCTGTGCTTCGAGGGTTTTTCTCCGTGTTCTCCGGTTTTCCTCCCTCCTCAAAAATCAACTCCTAAATTCTAGTTCGATCTTTGGGCTTTCACTTAGTTTGGAGCCTAGCTCTGTTGTGATTGTCCCACGCTGTGATACGACATATGCATAATGCATAACTCAACATTTGCACTGGCGATGATGTTGTGCTGATTTTTTTATTCTTAATTCACAGACCTGATTTGCTTCTTCTGGACGGTGAGTACACCTGACAACAAACATTCTAAGTAATTCAAACTTGTTAGAGTTGTGCTCTGGGGTGATACATGAACTGTATAGCTAGCGGCTGCCAGAAGTGCCTTCTCATTGCTTCACTTAGGCAATGTTCACCTTAGCCACATTGTATTTGCGGTGGTGAATAGCGATAACAAATAACAGACAATAGTAATATTTAACTTTTTTTCCTGGCCCGGTATCCTAAAAAATCGTGCGTTCTGATTGGCTGTTTGAGCGGACGGTATTTTGTCAGTATCTGCCCGCTGTCGCTCTGGTATCCTTGGCGGCTAAACATCAAAACAAAAACAATTGAAAAAAAAGAATACGTTATTTACCGTCCTACAGTCAGTCCGGATAGGGAAAAACTGTGCCCTCTGTCTTGAAAACGGACCTCGCCCTAAATAACATATATCGCTTCCTACAGCTATGTCAAAGTGGTCCTACTTTTTTTGCTGGCTAAAATATATTATGGAAACGAGAAGATCCACCCAGGTTCACCTGTATTTTTATCTGGTATGAATCCATACACTTAAAGATATGAAATTATTTGTCTTTCTCCTCAGAACCTACTAACATGTTGGACCTAAAAGCAGTCATGTGGTTAGAAAATTATCTTCAGGTAGGTGAAGGCAACTTTAATGAAATGTTCTTGTTAATAAATGACGAAAGGTTTGGCTTCCTGATTTACTAAATCTAGTTCGTCTCGCGGTTTTGACCTAAAATCAAAAACTTTGGTCCAGTTTGAGTGATCATACATCTTTATACCCAATAATCCGATTAGGTTTTGCTCGTAACAATATTATTCGTTATTCAAGCGAAGCTACACCTCGTTGTTAAACCTAACAGATGATCTTGTTCAATATTAAACACTACATATATTGAAAGACTTTGGCTATGTTATGAACGATCAAGGAACTGCTAAAATTAACTGGTTATGTTTTCTTTCTCAGACATGGGTAACAACCATTTTAGTGGTTTCTCACGACAGAAACTTCTTGGATTCCGTTTGTACAGACATTCTGCATATGCATTCACAAAAATTAGACTATTATAAAGGCAATTATGAGGTAAGATGTTTATATATTTATATATATTATTACATGTTTAACCATCAAATGACTTCCACCTTGAACACGTCGTTGAAGTGAGAATGCGTAAAATCAAAGAATAAAAGATTTTCAAGGTGGCGTCTATTACCCCCTCAAATATTCCCACAATGCACTGCAATGCCAACTTTTTCCTCAACCTCAGAATGGCTAATAAATGGTTTAATGATGAGCTTACGAGCTTTCATGTTTTATTTTTTGTATTTTTCTCAGAATTTTCACAAGACACGAGAAGAAAAATTATTGAACCAACAGAGAGAATATGAATCTCAACAAATGTACCGACAACATTTACAGGTAAATCTAGGTTACCTCACGGTATCTAACATATGAAGTAGTACTAATTAGAGAGGAAATGATATGGGGTACAAATTGACAAACGAACGTGCGAGTTCGCGCGTTACATTCACCTGTAAACAAACAGGCCGAGTTTGTCATTACTGTCTTTTGTTGTATCATCCAACATGGCCACCATGTCTTTTGTTATATCATCCAACATGGTGGTCATGTCTTTTGTTATATCGTCCAACATGGCCACCATGTCTTTTGTTATATCATCCAACATGGCCACCATGTCTTTTGTTATATCATCCAACATGGTGGTCATGTCTTTTGTTATATCTTCCAACGTGGCCACCATGTCTTTTGTTGTATCATCCAACATGCCCACCATTTCTTTTGTTATACCATCCAACATGGTGGTCATGTCTTTTGTTATATCGTCCAACATGGCCACCATGTCTTTTGTTATATCATCCAACATGGACACCATGTCTTTTGTTATATCATCCAACATGGCCACCATGTCTTTTGTTATATTATCCAACGTGGCCACCATGTCTTTTGTTATATCATCCAACATGGCCACCATGTCTTTTGTTATATCATCCAACATGGCCACCATTTTTTTTGTTATATCATCCAACATGGCCATGTTTTTTTTTTGTTTGTTTCGTTTGTTTGTTTTTTTGTTAATTTTCTTGCAACCGATCGAAAACCAACTATAAAACTAGATCGTATATATAAAAAACATTGAGTAATCGTTATCCATTGTATCACTTCAGGCATTTATTGATAAGTTCAGGTATAACGCGAAAAGAGCTTCTCTCGCACAAAGCAAAATCAAGATCCTCGAAAAGCTGTAAGTTCGTCTAATTTACTTTCTCATTATATTTGTTTTCTGTGTACCCCGACAGAGAAGGGTACAATCTACTACTCGTTTCTCTATGGTGTAAGAAAAATTCATATTTTATTTCTCAACATCCATCTTATTATATTTGCTGCAGCCCAGTCCTACAACCTGTCGCAAAGGAAGCACCTGTGATGATCCAGTAAGTACTAAATACTGAACCATTAAACAAAAAAAAGGGGGGTTCCCAGCTTTTCGACCTCTACTTGAACAACAGATCGTTTCTCAAAAAAAAAAAAAAAAAAAAAAAGTACATGTACTTTGAATTTGTGAATACGCGAGGCGTAAATACGAGTTATCGTGAGGGGTCTGAATATGTAAAAATGATTTTTCCCAGATTCCTGGGGGGAAAACACGCTTTAGTAAAATGAAAAACAAAAGTCCAACTCTGCTTTTTAGAGGACTTTCCATAGAGGGAGTATAAGCAAAAAGATCTTCTTCCAATACTTGACTCAGTTAACGCCATCCAAACGGAAGTCGTCTTTCGTAAACTCTTGAAGTTCTTATAATCAATTTATTGCAAAATCCGATTCAAAACTCCACAAAAAGTCAAAGACTAAATAAAGTAGAATCAAAAAAAATCACTTTGATGGCTCGTCTTACCAGTTTAGAGATTGAGCATTTAAAGCGAGCGAACTGCTTATATTCGAAAGTAAGTATGATATAGAGCATTTTTCGTATGACTGTGAAAAGCTCAGTGCCGTAAGCGTGACGTGCCGTGGCCGTGATGCTTTCTATAATTTTAATTGGCCGATTTTTTTCACGCGCAATATGATTGGTCTTGCATTGCCTTGACCTGGGCGTGACCGTGCCCGCGCCGTGTTTATGCCGTGTTCCGGGTATTTGATTGGACGGAGAGTAAATTCTCATGCAATGTGATTGGTCTGGCATATCCCTTGCTGTGTCACGACCGTGTTCGTGCCGTGAGCTTTTTATAGTCATACGAAAACTGCACTACAGTTATCACGCATAGAAAGGGCACAGGGAACCCAATATTGTGCAAGTAGAGACTCCCTGAGTATCCAGGAGTTCGCCACAGATGACATTTGATTTCATGCAAGTGACATCTCTAGCCCATAGTGACTTGAGTTATGAAGAGCCCAAAACACATACATTCTCGTCCCTAAGACTTGCTGTTGACGGATTTTAAAAAAAACGTCAGTGCTGTGGAAAAATAGAACAAAACCTTATTATAACTTGTAATAAGTTTTAATATTTATGCTTTAGTCAAATAATGATACCTTTGTATCTTCTGCCCAACTAACCTTGTACATGGTGGCATAACTTTATTGAATAATGAAATAAGCCTGAAGCGAGACGACGTTTTACCCCCGACTCTATACCATAATAGTTTTTAAAATTCTTTCATATTAAAATTTTTGATTCCTTAGAGAATACAGGAACAATAGTCATAATTAAAGAACAAAAGCAMTGTGAAAAGGATTATGGTCTAGAGACGGGGGTAAAACGCCATCTCGCTTCAGGCTTATTATGTGGTGCTCAATCTTTCAATAGAGGTTTTGCACCATCACGTGATGGCAGCCATGATGGTGCAAAACATCTACTGAAAAATGTATGAACTCTTAACTCTTAATTGACTGCGGCATATTTACTAAACACTATTCAGTGCTGAGCCTGGTTTTTTTTTCTCTTGCTCTCTCTCACTCTTTAGGTTTCCTGAATGTGAAAAATTGTCACCGCCTGTTCTACAGTTAGACGAGGTAAACTTATTTTACATAACGAGACAATTTGAATTTCCGACTCTTGTGCATGCATGAAGATTATTCGCTTGCCGCCGTGTTGTGAGAAACAAAATTCTTAAATGGTCTTAAACATTTTCTAGTATTACACTAGTTGAGGGTAGACTTCCAATATCATGGAAGAAAGATGGCAGATCTGTATCATTTAGATAAGAGGGGGGGGGGGGGAGGAGGGGGAGACAGATAAAGATTACAAATGTGAATGAATTAAGTGTGCAGCGGTGGTTAAAGTGGTTTAAACTTTCAAGGCAGCCACCACCACTCTCTGATACCTCTCTCGCAGAAAATATTTGACCGCTGTGGGTTTTACTCCCAGACTGGTTAATTTAGCGATAAGTAAGCAGTGATCGTAATACTCTAGCCAATGGCACGTGATATGGGAACACGCCCAAGGTAAAGAGGTCTAATAGACAAACATGTGTTTGATGATATGATGAAACTTTCATCGATTGGTACAACTGTAATTGTTTGCGCCGAAGCAAATAAAGTCCAAATCGTGTTGACATTGTTATACGCAGTGTAGAAAAATCTTGCTTGACCACTGCAAATGATGGTTTGATCATGCGCAACAAAAACAAATTATTCATGAAAGATGGCAGCTGGAATGTACGTGGCCAGAGGCTCTCACGCTCCAGTTCTTCCTGGTCAAAGTTGAAACAAAATATAAGCAATCCTCAATCCCCTTTTTAGCTCTTTGTTCAGTTCAATCATTCAGTATTTGAAGATGCCACAGAACTATTAAAAATTCATTCATTCATCCACAGGTGACATTTTACTACGATGCAAGTAAGGTGATCTTTGAGAAAGTCGATATTTCCTGTAACAGTGAGTCAAGAATAGCCGTGGTACGTATTATGACATGAGCCGATCTTCATTGAATCAAGTCACTGTTTACATTTCGATTCACTGCTATAAATCGAACTTTAATTGACCAAACACTTTATGAAATAAATAAATGTTGTGTTTGAGTTGAGAAAAAGCTTTTCTTAAGGGACGGACCGTTAGATAGTTGATGGGGGGTTGCGTAAATCCCCAAAAAAATATCGAGCAAGCACTTAACCCTCAAAAAAATATCGTGCAACCTCTTCTAGGTTGAGTCAAAAAAATAAATATCATGCAACCAAAATTCCTGCAACCCCCCCCCCCTCCCCCATCAATTATCTAATGGTCCATCGTGCTCCGAAACCAATTATTTTGAGATTTGAGATTCTTAGTTACTAGTTAGTAGTAAATGTTTGTTCAATGTCCATTTTTTTTCGATAAGGCGATCATAATGAGCAAAATGTCAATGTGACTGATAAAATAATGGAAAACAATGTCAATTAACTTTTTTTTTTTCGTTTTATTCATCGCAATATAAATCTCGTACTGTTTTACGGAGACAACTGAGAGCCAAGCATATTTAACAGAATAAGAACGAGCAACATTTATAAATAAGCACATCAAAAAATCTTTCGCCTCATTGAATAGAAAAATTTACGTTTTTTATCAGCTATATTTGGTCATTGTTATTAATTAAAAGTATCTTCCATAATGAAATGGCGTGGTAAACACAGGATAAAACAAAAAGTCGAAAAAACGACTAAACTTAAATAACTCCTATTGTACACAAATATTATATTTTATTGATTTATATATAGCTCGGGGATTTCATTAGTTATTTAAGTACTGTTTAATAAACGAGCAGGAGTGTTTTATCGGGTTTAAAACACGAGGCGTAGCCGAGTGGTTTTAGACCCAATAAAACACGATCTGCGAGTTTATTAAACGGCTTAAAAAACTCATGATGTAAGTTCTCATACTGTACCCAATTCTTTACGAAATGAACCAAGTTTGATGGAGAAAAATCCAAGTTAAAGTTTATGCAAATGAAGACAAATCTATATTAGATATAAAACCTCCTTCACGGTCACGATTTCTATTGTGTTTCCTTCATGAATTATTAATGAGTTTTTTAAATCCCACTTATTATCACCTTTAATTCATAGGGTGGGAGAGGGTGTATACATAAAGGAGGGAGTTATGTTTGTTACTTAAATTGGTAACTCACAGTTTACATTTCACTTACTATCACTTTTAATTGGCTTTATTTAATAGAAAGGGGTGGGGGTTGGGGGTGGGGGGCATGTATACATATGAAGGAGGGACTTATGCCAGGGAATTTTAATTTGTAATTTACATTTTCACTCATTATCATGGGTTGGGCCTTGGTTATGGGTCTTATTTCAGTAGGGTTGGGCTTATACTAGTATTTAGGTAGTAGTAGTAGTAGTCGTAGTATTTAGTCTTTTAGTTTAGTATCCAGACATATAGCTACTCTGTAGAAAACCTGGAATAAACCACTATTATTATTATAATTATTATTATTATTATATTCATAATCTCTTTATTAACGTTATTATATATATATATATATATTTTTTTTTTTTATTAGTTAATTGAATTCTATTCGAGATTATGAACTTTAAATGCTATAGTTTTTCATTTTATTTTTGTTTATCATTATCTTAAAATCATTAAGCATTGGAACTTTAGTAGCTTTGGAGCGAGTGTATTTCTATTTCTATTAAGACATGCATAGACTATTAAGGTTTGTTTGAATAAAATTATCATTATTACTATTATTATTGTTATTATTATTATTATTATTATTATTATCATCACCATCATAATAAATACAGGCATTCCACTAGTAGTATTGTTTAACCATGAAAAACGACACAACAGGTCAGGAGGATTTATTCTTTCTCACCTGCTTCTTATCAGGTTGGTGATAATGGGTCAGGAAAAACTACATTACTCAAGATACTCCTCGGGGAACTGGAACCAGTCAAAGGAATCAAACACTGCCACAGGTAACTTACTATTTCACTGGCAGCAGTTCTTAGCGGCAAACCTGCTGAGTTTTACCCTATTTCATTATGACGTCACATGAAAATATTTGTTTGTTTATTTGAGTGTGTTTTGTTTTGTGTGTTATTAGATCTTAGAAAAGTCATAATAGCCACCAAATACGTACATATTGTATGATAAATACATGTTGTGGGATAAACACCGGTTTATGAAATGTTCTAAAACTAGGCATATCAGGGCTATCAATGGACGACCTTTTTACTGGTACGGCGGCCATCTTGAATAATGGGATGCCGAGTTGGCAAACACGAGAAAATTTATAAAGCAGAGATTGGTGGAGTTACGTTTACGCACAATTTGTAGTCTTGGCGTTTCGCATATTGCTCCAACTTCCAGCAAATTCAATTGCTCCTTATGTATGCTTCTCGTTGAAAAGCGTAAAGTTATATCTGTGCAGTCTACATGTTCCAATAGTAGCTTCCTTGGCATCCCATAATGTGTTAATTAAAGAAAATGAATTCAAGATGGCCAACGTATAGGCAAAAAGGTTCATTCAGCTACAGAGTAAAATTTGTCCAAATTGTCATTGATCTTCGCCACTCTGTCCTCCTTATGAACAAAACTGTGACATTACAGGAAATAGGGCAATTGATAAAAGCAAGGCAACGAATATTAATTCTCAGGAAACTGAGGAAACTACTACTGGGCTGATAAAATAGAATCTAGCCAAGAACGTCTGCAGTCATCCCCTAATCAAATCCTCAAAACAAGGTCCCCGAGGGTCAAAAAGACCGAATACGTATGATATTAATGCCCCATTTCACCGTTAAAAATGATTAGTGCGATTCTCAATTACGTCTAGTAAATTAAAGAATGCACATAGCTTCAATATTTGCAAGATTTGGGTTTATAGGGAAACTAATAACACTCTACCAAATCAAAACTTAACCTGAGCAAGTGAGGAAATGTTTGAAATAAAGCAGACTTATAACAGGTGCAGGAGTAGAAAGTAATTCTACTCGCACATGATGGCGTACCCAAGAGTGGAAACCACAAGTACAGCGGTGAGAGGCGCTTGATTAGCTTCCCTTCCTTACTTCTATTACGATGACACTGCCATACAAAAAAGGCAAACGCTATCGACCTTCATTCAATTTAAATTTGATTCGTTTGTTGTTGTTAGAAATCTGAAGGTAGGATATTTCAGTCAGCACCACGTTGATCAACTACAAATGGGCCAATCAGCTCTGGGGATGTTAGCGGAAAAATTCCCAGGTAAATCTGAAATCATCCGTTATCGATGCTAAGATCGTGCTCACCATGAGAGGTCGAGATTTTATGAATTTTAATGACGTAAATGTTGTTTCAGTAGAATTACCGATGAGGAATATAGGGGACTATTTCATCAATATAGTGTGTTTTACAGGCAAGATGTTTTCCTTTCTAAGGCCCCGTCCACACGTATCCGGAAATTTTTGTATCCGCTTTTTATTTTTTAACGGATGCGGGTTGCGTCCACACGTGTTCGGAAATTTTTGTGTCCGTATCCGCAAATTTTACGAAAACGGATACGTGTGGACGGTTAAAACGATTCGAATACGCTGCGTGTGGGACTCGAACTCGTCGCTACGCCACCCATGCTTCCCATTAAAAAATTACCTATTAGGCCCCGTCCACAGGTATCCGTAAATTTTTGTATCCGTAAATTATTTTTTGCGGATACGAAAATGTTTGCGTCCACACGCAGCGTATTCGAAACGTTTTCACCATCCACACGTGTGGACGCAACCCGTATCCGCAAAAAAAAATTTTCGGGTACCAAAATTTTCGGGTACGCGTGGACGGGGCCTTAGAGTAAAACTACTTCAGTAGGTTTGCCGAGTTTATAATCGCATAGCTATTCAACTGTTATCCCCGGCTCGACTTTGGCCCCGTCCACACGTATCCGCAAATTTTTGTATCCGCAAATTTTTTTTTTTTGCGGATACGAAAATGTTCGCGTCCACACGCAGCGTATTCGAATCGTTTTCACTGTACACACATATCCGGAAATTTCTTGATCCGAGCTGATGCACTCTAGTTCCTAATCCCTTTGACGGATAGTTTTTCTTATTGAGCATGCGCAAAATCGTATTTACGTTTTCGAAAATTTCCGGATACGGATACAAAAATTTCCGGACACGTGTGGACGCAACCCGTATCCGCAAAAAAAWAAATAAAATTGCGAATACAAAAATTTCCGGATTCGTGTGGACGGGACCTAACTCTCTAAAACCTATTCCATTTTTGCTGTAATTCCCTTTGCAGGTAAAACAATGGAACAATATCGACATCAGTTAGGGCGATATGGAGTATCAGGAGACTTGGCTACGCGACCACTGTTGAGTTTATCTGGAGGTCAGAAGAGTAGAGTCATATTTTCCTTGATGACAAATGCATGGTTAGTATTATGGATAACTGGCTCTCATCCATTCTCGTAAGCAAACCCTTCTCTATCGGAAAATCGATTTTTTGTTAGAAAGCTAAGAAGGATTTGGGTACGAGAATGGCCCACATCTAGTTGGACTTGACATATTTGGTATTTCAACTTTTTTAGTCCAAATCTTCTTATTCTTGACGAACCTACCAACCATCTTGACATGGAAACCATAGAAGCACTAGCCAAGGCACTCAAGAATTTCAAGGTATTCTGAATAGACCTATTCTGTTTATGTTGGCTTCGGTACCGGATGACAAAAAAAAAAAGATCGGTAGAATTTTAATACTAAGTACTACCGAATTACATTACACTGTAGGTATCCATGATCATAACAGAGCCGGAAAATAATCATGGCCAGGCGAACATTTGGAGCTCTGCAAAATTCAATTAGAAAATTCAAAACTAAAATTCAAAACTTGATCAATCGTTATTCTTGCGATGCTAACAGTTAAGTGATTTAGGTAGTACCCTCGGGTCCGGAGGTTATTTATTCTCGCTCCGGCGTTTGCTGTTTTGACTGCAGATCGCCTTTTTGTACATAACTATTCTCTATACTCTTTATTGTGCGAATTTTTCGGTGCACCAATAGTTCTGAGTTACTTCATTCCGGTTTCTATTACTCTTCTCAGTTTACCAATTTAGGGTTTGTTTCGTTCCATGTTGTAGGGAGGAGTTATTCTAGTTTCTCACGATGAGCGACTAGTGCGGTCCATGTGCAAGGAAGTCTGGGTCTGTGGTAAAGGCAAAGTTCAATCAATCGAAGGAGGGTTCGAAGAATACAAAAGAATTGTGCAAGAAGAATTAAAACTATTAGAATGATAATTATATTTAATGTAATCGTTAATTCGCAAAAGACCTGCTAATAAAGTATGTCATTTCTCTTGATCTGACTTGCAAAACCTTTTTCAAGGCTGGCAATACTTTACCCAGCTGAGCTTCTTATTCCCTTTTTTCTTCACATCATCTCAGCAGACAACACAGATAGTTAACGTTCAAATTGCTCAAGCACTCGATTGGTTGAAAAACCTTGGACGTATGAAGTGCATGTGTCTACTGCTTCATAGATGAGGTGACCATATTTCTATGTAAGGTGCTTCTTAGTTCTCTAAGGGGAGTCGAAGAGCTCTCGAAGGGAAACAATCGACAAGATGGAAATGGTTAGTGAGGGTCGGTTTACTCATGATTGACTACCTAGTAATTTAGGGGAATCAGGATGGCGTGGTAGTAAGACGCGCGCACGTCTCTCCAATGCGCCCCGTGTGAGCTGAGGATCAACTTGAGGTATCATTTGAGTACGCAGATGATACTCAAAGCCATGCTATATACACCTATTTCAATAAATGTTGTATAATCGCTAAAGGCGATAAGCGAAAAGCAAAAGGAGATTTCATTTCAAGATCTAAAAATAGCTGGAATGACTTGTGTTTCTGCTTCTAATTCTAGTCAAGAACATGGACATTAGTGTTGAGACTGATTCAATG